ACATATAGGGTAACTTGATGTATATTACTGAGATTTTTTCAGAGAAACGGCACATGGCACGCTTACTGCATCATACATTATTCACCGACTTGCGTGTCAGTGTCACATTACAAATGTTTTGACCTTGGTAAAACACTCCTGCACGTGTGTTGACTTCTCTTAAAACATTTAGAGAAAGCTGTGCAAAGATCTGATCAGCAATAACTTTGTGCTAATGGGAATATAGATAAATATAATAATATCAAGGTCTAACTCCTAAAAGAAAAATTCCGGGTTTCCGATGGTAATCGAAGCCACGAACTTACAGAATAGCAAACAGACGTTGCTCACCACTCGATTTTCCCATAGCTCAGTTGTAGATCATTCCAGCCTGGTGATTCCAGTTTGGAAGTCGAAACTTTTCTTTTCCGCGGTAGACCGTGACATTTTCCTTTATTTATGTTTGTGCGAAAGGGTGATGAAAATAAGCTGAATCTTGTGCTCGTTAATCCTTTCTCAGGATTGTCAGGACAGTCTGCAAAATTCGGAACCGGAAATAAACTTCGCTCTGGAATATGGTGGGCGGTTGGTCGATGATGACATCACAGATCCAGAAGACAAGACAAAGATCAACGAAGAAGTAGAAGAGATGGGAAAGGCTTTGAATGATCTCAAAGAAGACGCTGCTAGAGAAAGGAAAAGGTATTATGCGCAAGTGGTATCACCTTTTGTAACTATGAAAAGGAGTATTGTTCATTCTTTGAGTTCTCTTACTGAAGAGCTGTGTGTCCAGTTCAGCAATTCTCTGATCAAGTTTAATAAGTGAAGAGACAACCTCTTACGGTTGTTTACTAACTCCACACATCTATGCAGTATATGAGTGAAAACCCTTTCAGGTTTTCAGTACTTTCCGGTAAATATGATAAACTATTTACTATCAATTTAACGTCATGGAAAGCTTCATCGAACACGCAGTTTTATAGGATGGGTTAGTTCGTCTCCTAAAAATCTATTCTTTCTCCCAGTAATCCATCATTTTTGGGTTACAGTCGAACCTCCATGTAGAACCACTTCCCATGAGCGACCACTCATCCAAAATACCAAAACTTTCCCAGTCAAAGCCTTACAGTTGGAAGCTCTAGTAAACGACCACCTCCCGTAAGCGACCGCGACCACTTTTTTTGGCCTGAAAGTTTAATGATTTTCTAGTGTTTTTAACCTCTTGTAAGCGTCCACTTGAGGCATTCTCTGATCTCTATGTTCGCTGCGTGCACTGTGCTACCTACAATATACAAAGAACTTGCGTAACAACATGGACCTACACATGGCGTAACTTGGAAATTTTATGCAATAATTTATCTTTCACAAAGTACATGTGCCCGAACCTCTTCTTGGAAGAGGCCTCCTGTGCTGCGATTTTAGTAAGCGACCACCTCCCGAAAGCGACAACTAAGTCTTTGCATTTTGGTTGGTCGCTTACGGGAGGTTCGACTTTATTTATGCCGAAGAAACTGAACTTACACTTAGGCAAGTGACTCAGTGCTCATTGAAGATAGGGCTCTCTGGTTTAACTTTTACAATTATTTGTAAGAGACCCTTCCACAAATTTTTTCGAAAACCAATCGGCACCATTGGGAAGAACGCCTGATTTAAATTGGCAGAAAACCGTGGAAGGTATGAATTTAATTGAACACTTTGGTCTGTTGAACAGGCTGGAAGAGCTACTTGAAAGTCAAAGAGAAGAAGAGAAAAATCAAAAGTTGCAGAAGTGGGAGGATTGGAAGGCTCACATAAAATATTCCTTTGGAAATTGTGAAGATAAGTTAGCAGATCTCAAATCAAAAGGAGACCCTAAAGACAAAAAGGACATCGAAGAGCAAATAGCCTTGAACAAAGTAGGATCTTGGTCTTTTATAATTATTATCGTGTCTGTATTACTTTGGTGTATTCTTCCTTAGTAGAATGACTGATATGATAGTTCTCAAAGTCATCATTAATTCCTCAAGGTACTGTTAGGTTTTAAAACTTGCGAACGTGACCTTTCGCTGAGGATGTTACTAAAACGGGGAACGGCGGGGAGCGGGAAACGAGGACGGTCAACGGGAAAATGAAAAAAATGGGAACAAACAGAGAATTGGAAATGAACTTACTGATAGGGCTTGGGTTAAAATTAGGTTTGTTCCCATTTTTCATTTCCCGTTCCCCATTCCCCATTCTTCGTTGTCGAGTAGTAACATCCTGTCTGCTAGTAATTGCGTCGCATCTCATCATTTTAACAACCAATAAAATTTCCACAGTAAATAAAAGCTCTGATTGATAAAAGTCCTCATTGGTCGCAGAAAATAAGAACATAACATAATTGTTTATCATTATTTCCATTAATAGTTTTTACTGTTACGGTAGCAAAGCAGTTGGCTTTTAGGGTTAAGACAGCAGCTATGTGAGGCACAGTGAAAAAAAGTAAAGGTGTATTTCTCAACCGCAACATGATATACAAACTAGCAATAAATAAGATATGTGGTTAGATACTTGATGCAGATATTCTGCGAGTTGCCCAGTATTTCTTTACATTTATACGTGGTATAAAAAGACATAAAAGAATTAATCTGTTACGGGTTCGACCGATCCGCAGTCCACTCTTCTGTCTCGTGAATGGTGTTTACCAGATTAAGATAAATTTTTTTTTTTACTAAACTTGGGTACAACTTTGCGTGGGGATACGTGTGAACGGGGTCATAATCTAATTGCTAGGTTGCTTTGATATCAGGTTTTGGCTCCGACGACAAATTTGATGACGTGCTCATTTGTTGCTTTTTATAGGAGTGTAACGATCAGCTTCTGCAGTCCAGGCCTCAGATAAATGACGGTCTTGCGTTTGGGTGGTTGATTTTAGAAGACGACAACGTCGATGACAATAGCAAAGCAAATGTTAAGCAGGACTTAAATCAGCTGGAAGAAGATTTGTCGAGACTTGACGAATCTATTGCTGACAACGATCGCAGGTGAGCGTACCATCCCAAATTCAAGAGCTAAAGTATATTTTGAAAAGTGTGTCGAAAGTTGTGTTGCACACCTTAAATCCTCCATTAAGCCCCCCCCCCCC